TATATAGAGGAAAGTAGGATAAAATCGGGTTTTTTTTTGGATTTGTCTTTCTACAAAAAATCAAAGAGTAAAAAGATTTCGCTGAAAAAAAATATTTGGTTATCAAGGATAACAAGATTTTTTGGAGAAGTCAAAATATCTGGTTTTGCCCTACCGGTAGGGTAAAACCGGGTACATATTTGAAAACATGTAAAATACCGTATAATTACAAAATCTAGATTTATTTTAAACAAAATACGATAAATATGCCGATCAAGGAAGGCAGTCCCGATGACCTTGACCTTGACATATGTTGTCAAGACAACGCGAAACGAAGTCCACCCCATGATTGTTGTGTGGATGGGAAAGTGTATGCGTGGACGCAGTGATTATAAGTGATTATAAAAAACTACCTATTTATCTCTCTCTCTCTCTCTGATTTAAAACTAAAATTTGGATTGGGTTAGGTTATATCTTCCGGAAGTGGAGTCCCCCCGTAGGGGGGCGGAACCTGCGTCCATGCATGTACTTTCCAAAACGAAACCAAATTCACTCTATATCTAACCTTAACCCTTCTAAAACGTACATGGTGTCGTAAAATTATGTTCTATTCATTAAAGTTTCTTCATTAATAACTTTTTAATAAACTATGAGCGACGGCTATGACCTTTTGAATGTTGTTCAGGGTCATGACCTTGACAACATATGTCAAGGTCAAGGTCATCGGGACTGTCTCCCTTGATCGGCATATTTACCCAAAATACAATATAAAGATGTATTCTTTTGATAAAAATCACAAATAAAGATATCCTCTTGCTCTACATTGCTGTAGGACTTTCTTATTTAATTTTTTGACTTTAGGAATCTCAAAAAGCTTTTTTTAGTGGTTTCTTTTTCTGAGTGGCAGTTTTCGTTTCCAACTGCTTTTTGTAGGGAGATAAAGTCAGGAAAACAGTTTTTCCTTTTTTCATTAAATGAGGTGTATAGGTATCCGGTTTTGCCCCAACACAAGAAAAATAAAAAACACTGTGGCTGTTTTTTCCGGCGTACAAAGTGACAATCAAAACTATTGCGATATACTCTCTAATATGTACAGAATACAATGCCGCATTTACCGAGCAGATGTTCTGTATAGAAAAAGTTCATAACGACTTGATTCTTGCCCCGATATCGATCTTCTCTGGCCCGAAAATTTTGAACTCCTTTTAGAAAAGAAATATCGTGCACGTGGGCACGGTTCATCTCAAAATAATGTTGGCATCAAACTACAACTAATAACACGAGTTAGTCAAAGATAGTAGCACGTATCACGAAGAAACAGAGATACCGGTTTGACCCGCCTATCCGGTTTGACCCTACTTTCCCATATATATATATATATATATATATATATATATATATATATATATATATATATATATATATATATATATATATATATATATATATATATATATATATATATATATATATATATATATATATATATATATATATATATATATATATATATATATATATATATATATATATATATATATATATATATATATATATATATATATATATATATATATATATATATATACATATATACAAGTATATAATATTTCTAATAATATCTTTTGGTTTTTAAAGATTATCCGAACTTTTGGTATCCAAAATTGAGAAAATGTTATTCTGTTTAATAATAGTCGGAGTGGTCTGTTTGAGTCTTAATCTCTTTCGAGTAAGTCTTGTATTATGTCTTTATATCAACTATTTTCACATAAGACTTAATATATAAATATTGTATATACAATATATATTTCACATAATATATTCTGTTTTTTATATCAAGAAAAAGTATATTTTTTCTCTTTTTCTTTTTCCCTTTCCTCTCTCCACCTCTCTCAACCACTCTCTCTCTCACTCTCTCTTTCTCTTTCTTTCTTGTTTAGAAAACATAAGAAATGCAGATGCAAATTCGTGTCAACCGCGATCTTGTGTTTTAGATTTTTCAGATTGCATCACATGGAGATGATACCAAGGAAATTTTATTTCCCTTTATATTTACAACTATTAGTATTTTATATATGTTTGTAGCCAATTATATTGCGCAGGATATAACAGATCACAATGGTGACCTCTTTGCTACCGTGTAAGAATTTTAGACAAATTGTATGAAATGTCGCATCTTAAAAAATGTTTATTTAATTGCAGAGAGGTCAATGTTGTCGAGTAGAAATATACATATATGCTATCTTGACATGATTGCGCAGGTATGACGTTCAATGGCATTTAGCTCCGTTACATATACAGAAACTGATACTATTTCTGCTGCAAAAAGGAACCAAAGAATTTACTATAAATATCGATGGACTATTTGTCGGATCGTTGGAATGTTTCGCAACGGTAAATATAATAAATATATATTATCAAAATATACATACAAGATAACATATTGCAAATATTGGGTTGAACGGAAAGTCCGTGCCGTTTTTTCGGTCTTCATCTGTTAGCAAAAAATGGCACGAACTTTCCGTTCAACCCAATAAACATTACAGCTGGTAAAAACTTCGGTTTCTTACTTTACTGTCATGTATTCAACGCAATAATAAGGCAAGAAGAAAAATAATAGTAAATAATAGCAAATAAATTATAATCTAGAAGATATTTAGTTAAATAAACTTCAATATTACAATTATACTACATTTAAAAATTAAAAGTGTATAATAATCCCACGTTAAAAGTTATTATTAATTACCATAGTTTGGTCTTAAATACTCCTAAAAAGTCCTAATGGTTTTAAATAATTATATAAGATCTCTAAAAATATAAATATATATAATTAAAGATATTACATAGATTTTCAATATATCATAAATTTCAAATAAAATATAGAACACTGATACAAATTTACTTAATTTTACATTATTTTCAAGTTTTAACTTTTGTGATATATGTATTGCCACATTATTTTTAATGAATAACTTATATATTGTTAATATTTGCCAAACTTATTTTAAAGTATAATTTTTTTTATAATGAATGGCCTATGTGCAAATAAAATATCAAGATTTGAGAAATAAAGCTGTCTTCAACAAAAATCATTTTACATCTTTCAATATAACTTGATAATTTAAATGTTTTATGTATGTAAAGCTGAAAGAGATAATTATTCTTAAAGCTGACACATAAAATTAGCTATTATATCAAATAATAGATGCTATATATCAATTAATAGATTTGATTAACGTTACATTGTTTTTAAACATTTCGATTTTTCGTACATGCAATTTATATAATAAGAAATACTCAGCAAGTCAAATACTATTTCCATATGTTTAAATTATTCTTAGTGCTGGCTTCTTTGAATTTTTAAGTTTAAGTCTTTTGTTGATCAAAGTGACGTAAGTAATAAAGATTTATGCCAACACATACAAAGTGACAGTTGGTAATTGTAATATGTCGATATTTAGCTTTTAAAACGATAACCTTTATCACGTTAATTGATAATTAAAAGTTTAACATATATATCATGCATACAGATCTTATGAATTAATTTAAATAGTATGAGCTTTACCAGAAAGGCCCGTTCTTGCTCTCAAGAGTGAATGACCTTCGTCTCGAAGACCAAACGTACGTCATAAGTGCGGACAATAGAATGAAAGGTGTAAATCTGCGATATAAAAGAAGTTGCGAATACGCATGCGCGACTTTCGCGCAAGAATTTCTTTTTGTAAATATATATTCTTAAATAACACCAATTTTCTTAAATAACACTCTGAAATTACTCCGCTATCAAATATCGATCGCATAATTAGGGATTTTATTGCGAGAAATACTGTTAAACTGTGGATATTTTATTTTTGCTACGTTCTATAGTTGTATCGGCTTTGTATTATACGAAATTATATGCAATTTGTGCTAAAATTTACACCAGAAGAAAAAAGGAATAAAATACCTGGTCGATTAATCGATAAAGAAGGGGATGTGTACACTTACGTTACTTCACTATCATATGCATTCCAGACATCGCAAGAATATGATCCGTCTCGAGACTCAGTATTTTAATCTGAATAGGATTCTTTTGCTAGCTATTGGCCTATGGCCTTATAAACAATCGAACTTTACTCGACTTCAATTCATTTTCTTGTCTACTATTTTAACGACTAGTCTTATATTTCAGGTAAGCTCTAATATAATAATATTATTAATATATAAGAAATTAAAAGCATGCAAAAGAGCAGTCCTATACCACATATATAACTTAAATTAAAATTAAATTGAAACAATAACGGCTTTTACGAATGTATCATACGAATGTATCATATGGTGAGGGAAACAATTAAGGTTTACCATTTAGCTTCTTACTTACATCAGATCATATTTAAAAGTTTTTTAATAGCTCATAGTAATGTTTCAAATAGCTTTAAATTGGTAAAAAGCTTTTGGAGAGATTCATATTAATAATAACTTTAGTCTAATTTCATTAGATGTCATTTCTTTTTTTACAAATATACTTATTGAAATCAAGTAAAATCCGAGTAAAAAGGCAAAAGAGCCACGCGCAGTTTTTTGGGCGTAAAGGTATATAATTTAAACCAAAAAATAAATTAAAAAATTAGAGTATTATTTTGATTTTATACTACAGACAATGCTGATATTGTTTTTCATTTCACTGTTTTGACAATCTAATTTTTTTGTATCGTTGTTTACCGCTATTGGTAACATTTGTTTTTATCATCTCACCTTTTTCGCCGAACAATACTTCTCATTACTCTGTGGTTAGTTAGTGAGTTTAGTTAAGACTTTGCGTTGCTGAAAAATTTTTGCTGTCGACTTGTGCGTTGCGTCTCTTTTATACACAATTATTAACGTATCATCATGTTCGTGGATTTATGCTTAAAGAATCGAGGTTTCTGCCCCGAAATAACATGGACTATATGGAGAATGGTTTTTGCCTTTTGGAGCGACATGAGGGATCACGCCTTCTACCGTTGGTCACCATGTAACTCTGCGCTTTAATTGATTAAGACTCTTTCTGTATACCGTTTATATTGTTGAGTTTAGTATTATTTGCGCTGATGATGGCCAAAAAAAGGGCCGAAACGTCCGCCTTTCGCGAATCATGTAATTAAAGAAATTCTCTAATTTTTTAATTTATTTTTTGGTTTAAATTATATACCTTTGCGCCCAAAAAACTGCGCGTGGCTCTTTTGCTTTTTTACTCGGATTTTACTTGATTTTAATCGTGTAAGAGCCTTACTTTTATATCTTTTTATACTTATTGAAGTTGCGATGAACAGTGTGCCGGATAGATAGAATTATATTTCCGATAATGGTAAGACTTTTCAATTTCTCTTAGCAGTTAGATTTAACTTTCTTTAAATTTTAAATTCAACTTTCTTTACATTTAATGATGTTATTTACCAACAAAACTTTGATACATCCATGAGCTCTCCTCTGTCCCCGATCATTGCGGACATTGTACTGCAAAACTGAGAGAAAAAAGCATTTGAGATATTAAAGCTCACCCTCCCTCCCCCCCCTTCCTTTTTACTTTAGATATGTGAATGATATTGTTCTTGCTATTCCGTCTTCTTTGATCGATTATACATTGAATATTTTTAAATAATTTATTTCTATTTCTTTACAATTCACATTGGAAATGGGAACAAACAATAGATCAAATTTTTTGGATATCACTATGATTTTAAATAAGAACCGTATAATATATGATTAGTTTCAAACCAAATTTGTTCGGGAAGATATCTAAACTTTTTTGTCAGAAAAAAGGCACAATTATTGGCCTTATTGATAGAGCATTTTTACTCCCACATCCAAAGTTTCATTTCAAAAATATTGAGTTTGTTATAAAAATTCTGCTTGACAATGGTTATCCATTAAAGCTCATCTTTCAAATCTTTCAGACACGTTTCAAAACATTATTCAATAATTCAAGAAATAAGAAAATTAATATTTATCCAGTATCGAAGAATAAAACTATAAATTACACAGTTATATTAAAGTACACAAAGACACCTTTCCTAAAACTTTTTACAGCAATGTCGTTTACAAAATTAAGTGCAGTAATTATAACGCTTTATATGTCGGTCAAATAGGCAAACAGTTAGGCCCTGCGCACAATAGAGAAATTATTAGGAATAGGAATAAAATATTAAATATCAGAAGGAGCAATTTGGAATTATTTTACTTCAAACAAGGGAGCGGAATGGATTAACGCATTCTAATTTTTAT